CAGTGGACTGGCCCAGGGTCCCACGGCTGGCTGGTGGCAGAGCTGGGCCTCGATCTCAGGACTCGTGCCTGCAAGTCCACAGCTCACACACCTGAGCACCAGCGTTCTCTCCTACAACTGCACGCCCCTCGCTGCTGCCACACACGCTGGGCCACGGCTTCGCGAGCAGATGTGAAGTTGGCTCGTACACATTTGCATTTCCCCAAATCCCTGGAGTCAAATCACCAGGAAAGATAAATCTACCCTCTGGCGCCTTCAGCCCCATGCTTAACAGGACCCTCCCAGTCCTCCTCTGGAGTCTGTCTGGAAAGGTTACCAGGAATACGGGCCGCGTGGAGTAGCCCTGTATCTTCACCCAGAGAAGCACAGTGATGAGGGAGAGTCTCACAGGCTGAGCACCTAGGGGGGCCTGGGTTCGAATTCTGGTCACTCACTCACTAGATGTATTGGCCCTGGACAAGTCATTTTATTGCACTTGAGTTTTTCTGTGTATGTGTGTGTATGTATGTGTTTTAATCCTCACCTGAGGACATTTTTTCATTTTTTGTTCAGATAGAGTGGGAGGGAGAGAGAGAGAGAGAAACATCGACGTGAAAGGGACACATGGAGTGGTTGCCACTTGCACGACCCAGCGAGGGTCGGGGACAAACTGCAACCAAGGTACGTGCCCTTAGCGGAAACCGAACCCGGGTCTCTCTGGACCGTGGGCCGACGCTCTAACCACTGAGCCAAACAGGCCAGGGCTTGAGTTTTTCTGTTTTAATCTGTAAAACTGGAATGATAATCATTGCTTTGCAGGGTCACTGAGAGGGCTGAACTAGTGACTGTATATAAAGCACCCTACATGTGTATATGTAAAGCATATAATACATGTATATAAAGCTCAGATGTACATGAAGCATATGATGGATACAAAGTATATAATGGATGTATACAAGCTCAGAATTTCTAGTTCTCTTTCTCCCACCTCTTTTCTTTAATTAAGCAGAAGTTCTCTTTTTGTCTCCATGACCCATGACACCAGGGGGAGACTATCACTTTACACGTTATACAATATTTCTAGATTTTTCAAAATAATCTAGTCATCTTGCCCAAACTTCTCAGCCTAAAGAAAAAAAAAGTCAGAACCTGAGGCCTCCTAGAGTCTTCCTTCTGGTCTCGTTCGAGCTGATCAAGAGGGGGCGAGGGGAGGGGACGCCTGCGGTCCTCCGGGGCACGAGCTCCTCCTCGGCAGTGGGCTTCGGGCCACGGAGAGAAGTTGATGCGCTTCTCACGAGTAAGAACCCATCAATGGTGAAATCCACGATCCGTCATCACAAGAGGACAGCAACCATCGTCCTTTTCAGTTGCTGCTTTTGCAGAGCTCTGTGTAGTTTGTCCTCATTTCCTCCCCACGAGTGGCTCTGACTCGTGGCGACCTTGCTGTCCGAGGTGACGGGGGACGTGCTCGGCCATTTCGTGCCATGCGGCAGTTACTTGACGTGCCGTTCTCATGGGGACGTCCGTTTCCTAGCCACTTAACACACCGTGCACAGATGTCAGCAGCAGAAGTCCCACATCAACCCGAGAGAGCCGGGCACGGTTGGCAGTGGTCGCTTACAGAAAAGCCAGGCGCAAAGCCGCGGTTTGTGGGCTGGGGAGCGGGGAACCTAATTAGCCGGGCTCCAGGCCTGCAAAAAGCCTATTTCACATCTTCCGCTTTTACTCTTCGAAGTCACCAGGAAGGAGAATCGCTCGCAAACACCTACATTTGTTTCATGAAAGACAACCACAAAGACAGCCTCTGCGCAGATGGGCGCCATGGAAGGGGCTCCACAGCTTCAGACAGGCACCAAAGGGTCTGATCACGGCTCGGGATTACTGAGATGCTTGCTGGTGGGGAGAGGATCAAGTCCAAAGACAACGTTATATTTAAAAAAAAAAAAAAGTACTAGCTGCCACGCAAAAGAGATGGCCGAAATGAGCACCTGGATGTTTCGGAGTCACTGATTGGTTAGTGGTGACATGCGGATTCTGAGAACACCCCCGTGGTGGTCGAGGCTTCTGCATGTTCCATCTTCTCAGCTCCTTCCCTGAAAGCTTTTACCAGGGCGGTGAGAAGCGCACGCACAAAAGCATCCCTCGACACGTAGGAAGCTACATTTCAAAAGAGAGCCTGATAAAAGTTTTTGAGATTGTGCAAAGTACTGCAAGAGGACCGTTAATCCAATCATTAATGCTAAGAGACCACTGAATGGAGATGCTAACATTTGGACACGGAGCTAGCCCAGGGTGGGGATAAGGTCAGGAGTCTGTCCATGAAGCTCCCCCAAATCTCTCACCCTGCACCAACACTGGAACAGGAGGCTTTTCAAACACAGGGCTGCTAGGAGAGCAAAGCGGAGAACAGCGACTGAATTTCAGCCCGTTTGCTCATTGCGGTTCACTGAGACGGAAGAGGCTGTTCAAGGTCACGTTTCACTGGTCTCCTATCATCACCATGCCAAGCATTTCTGAACTGCTTCCTATGTGTAGGGCCTTGTAATAAGCACACAGATGGTAAGTTTTAATTAGCCGTGTACACACTAAATATCTTGATGAAGGGGGGAAAAAGTAGTCAGTTTATATACTGGTGTTGAAATCTGCCTTGTTAGATGTGAACATCAGAACATGTCTCTCTCTAGACACTGTTCCCCACCCCCACCCCCAATAATGTTAAGAGATTTTTCTTTTATTGTTTTCCACACCTTACTGTAAAAAATTTCAAACATATGCCGAGGTGGAAAGAATTTTACAACCGACACCAGTATCCCCACTACCCAGATTCTACCACTGGCATTTACTTCTCTTGCTTTGTGACATCTGTCCATCTACCTACCCTACCACCCGTCCGTCAATTTATGTTTTTGATGTATTTCGAAGTAGACTGCAGACAGCAGATAATAATGTATTTGGAAAAAGTAAAATTGAAGAGTGTTCCTACTCCTATAAGGATAGCTGTAAAAAATGTGTTTGTTTCTTTTTTAAACAACAAGCAAGCTCATTCTGAATGATGAACACAGATATTCAACACAGTTCAATCTGCAGGCACTAGGAAAAGTACAGTAAGTGAGCTCAAGGTTTTATTTACTCGCATCAACCTGTGGACATTTTCAGTACTGCTCCACACATCTGGCCTTGTGAAGACATGGCCATGGACGACAGAGAAATACGCTTCCTGCTACAGACAGCAGGGAAAATTACCCGGGATGTTAGCAACAGGCATTTTTTGTGGTTCTGCTCTATACTCTAATATTTCCCAATTATTCCTGAGTGTAGAAATAACGAAGATTTCTATGTCTCGATTCCTCATGTATAAAGTGTGAATTTTCTAACACAGCCTGGTCATGAGGGTTACAAGTGAAAAACAGGAAAGCACTTGGTGACCCTCCGCACGTTACCGTTAGAAATCCTAGTGCCTCTGTAATAAAACAGCGAGGTAATGGCCCACACCGCTACTTGGCTCTTTCAAGCCAGTTACAAAGATTCCAAAGGTTAAAGGGACAGAGTATTGGCAGATGCCTCCACTCTGCCTCTCAGTACGTCATCTTGTCAAGGATCTAGAAGAACACTGGTGTCTATCACATAGACTTGTTTTCATTAGTGAAGTGTTTGCCTTGGAAACCGTCCCAGCCTTAAAACAATACTTCCATTAGCTGGGCACAGTACCTATAATTATCCATCTTGTCTGATCAGTGCCAAACTATTCTACTTATGCATCCCATTTACTCTGGAGGTTCTAAAAGGACAGGGAGGCATTCATCAGGGTATGAGAAGGTGTAGAGAATGTTGATTTCTCTGAGTAAACACTTATAAATGAACTTTGGGTAGAAATTCCTGCCTCATAAATGACAAGTCAGGCACCCTACACGACAAGTCTAAAGGCGATAGAAACCCTCTGTCCCCCTATAGGAAAAATCCTGTTACAAGAGTATCTTAAGTTTATAAGGGATAGAGTAGCTTCTGTTTTTGTGTCTGGTTGGGTACACATCAAGAAGGTGAGGAGCAAGGTAAAGCTAACTAGGAAACCAAGAAGAGGTATAATATGTAGGGAGGCAAGTTCATCATTGGTTCCTGTTACTGCTTAAGGAGGAATTGAATAGAAAGACAGATTTGAAATTACCCTTACCCCCAAAAAGCCTTCGTTTCACTAAGAGGTATTTAGAGAAAACAATTGGGAGAAAAAAATTAGAAATTGGGAGCCGATGGAATAGGATATGTGATAAGAGAGAAATAAGCATGGTTTGTGATTTAATTACAAAGTGACACTCAACACTGAGCATGTTTGCAATATGGACAACATCACAGCAATGAGACAGCCTTTAGGAGGATACATATGGTTAGTTGCCCCACAAGTCAAAATACACTTTTCATGTCTGACAAGGGGAATCGGAGGGCAATTGGCTATGCCTACCTAAAGGAGAGGGTTCCCCCCGGCCCATGAACTCCACCTGACTGGTGCTGACAAGAACACACCTTGATCATAGTGATATGGTTGCATCAAGCTATCATCTTGATGCTGCTAAAACATTCCAAACATGCAAGTAAGTTCCATAATTTGGTTCCATATTTATAAAGCAAACTTCTAATCACACGTATACTTTAGTACCCTGTATGATGGATGTACCAGGAAGGAAAAAAAAAAAACTGCTCCAAAGGGTCAGGAACTTGTTTGCCCTGCAAGTGAGATTTCTCATTGTAATTACAACACCAAATTGGGGGAGGGGGATGAGCACATGTATGTGTGTAGATTATACAAACGGATACATGTTCAACATGCATTTCCAAGAGACACACTGGCAAATCTAACTGATAACAATGCAAACATCTAGATATTTGGGGAAAAGTGTGTAGCTGAATAAAATTTGACCACTCGAGAACCATGTATGCGTTTGTACCGTGCTGTTTGGTAGTATTGTTTATTTCTTCCGTTCAGTCAACATGTTTTGCTTAAACCGCTGGTGGTCCACGGGTCATCTTACCTGACTGCCCAGGGGGAGGAGCACCTGACGATCCTCGCGGGAGACACAGAAACACAGTCAGAACCGCAGCTCTGTTCCCGGCACATGGCTCAACGGCGATGGGTTTGGGCGCCCCCTGAAAAAGGAAACTCATTTTCAACTCACATCTTTGACATGACACTGTCATTTCACAGTTCTCTCTGGGCTTCAATCAGCTAAACTGGACATTCCCAGTGGCTGGGACACACCATGTGCATTTCAAATAGTTTAATTAAATATTTTACTGTAATAATATGCATGTTTTTTGTAGAGGTGGTCATTAATATTTAAAACACCTTTCTTGAAGAGTTATATATGGTACATATTTTTGCAATTTTTGAAAAGTATTCTTTGCTGTGCTCTATTTTTAGCTTTTTTCCCCCTTTAATAGACTTTTTAAAAGAAGATTTTGGTTCACAGTGAAATTGAGAGGAGGTGCAGAGATTTCCCCTGTATCTACTGCCCCCATGTATTCATAGCCTACCCCCCATTATCAACGTCCTCCACCAGAGTGGGACTCTCCCAATCGATGAGCCCGCACGGACGCGTCATAATCACCCAGAGTGCACAGTTGACGTTCGGGTTCACACTGGGTGGTCTGGACACATGCACAATGACATGTATCCACTGTCACAATATCATACAGGTCGTTTCCCTGCCCTAAAAATCCCTGTGCTCCATCTCTGCATCCCTGCAACTACCCATCTTCTCACTCTCTCCATGGTTTGGATATCTTTTTAGAGTAGAAATGGTGGTTTGGGCTACTTCTCTCAAAAAGCTGCAGGTGAGATACGGTTGCTATATCAAAGCAACATCTAAGCAAAATTAAACAGAAGAAAACATACCACTGCTTTAATTATTAAAACAAAGGGCTAGTTTTTTCTTCCACTGATGACATCTGAACTCTTCAGAAGACAGACAGACATGTGTAGTCGTTCACCTGGAATATTTTAGAATACTACCTTTTCCAGAAAGTTTACTGAGGCATTAAAGGTAAAATATGCCCCCTTTCATGTAAAACTTAGATGGAAATTTCTGGTGGCAATGGTTTTATGTGGTTAGAAAGAATTTCTCCTTTAGGGCAACATAAATCTCATGTTTTAAATTTATCCCCATACACACACATTTGGGGAGTTTTCGGCAGAACGGGGACAGCGGCCATCGTATTAGAAGTAAGGGGCATACGACTCTTCCAAGGAAGTGCTGGAAGCCAGGTCGCAACACCTGGATCAGGTTCCATGATTTATGGTTTTACACTTTAAAGCTTACATTTAATTTAACAGACTATTTTTGAAAATGTTAAGTCAAAATCAGCATAAGTACACAGACGTTCTCTGATGATGTAAATATTTAGAGGATAGGTTTGTCATATTCCAAGTCTGGAAGAAAAATACTAGGAATTTTGGAGCCACATTTCAAGGCTATTGAAATTTATTCTAATTTAATAAATGCAAAGTATAAGTAAAGGTCAATTGGTTAAAATATACTAAGAGAAAATAAAATAAATTCATATTTAAATGATGGTGACATATTAGAAATGCCCAAATCCCTTTTAATATACCTAAAGAATAATCTATCATCTCTACGACTGGGCAAGGCCGTCTTTGCTATTTTGTCTTTAGCTCTCAGTGCGGTAACGGCTGTCTTCAAGATCTCCAGAGGCACGTTAACATAATGGATAATGAAAATTGGACAGCTTTTAGGATTACAGAAAAATAAAGCAAACAAGCAAAAAAAACGCTGAGAAGCAGTCGTTGTTGGTTCAGGAATATGAAAAACAAGAAACAATTTGACAGCACAGGGGTGGATACTGTCGCCAGGCGATCTTCTGATGCTTCTAAGAGGTTTGAAACATTAAAATGCTAATGCCCAAGCACCAACTGAAGAGAAAAATTAGTAAAAAAAAATAACTGTAAATCTCAGGTGGAAAATGGCTTAATTGCTTAATACTTTAAACTTCTGAGACGCAGCAACAGATAAACACCGTGTAGTGGAATATCTTCTTTTTTTAATCCTCACTCGAGGACATTTTTACATTTATCTTCAGATAGAGTAGAAGGGAGAGAGGGAGGGAGAGAGAGACAGAGAGAAACATCAATGCAAGAGAGATACACTGAGTGGATGCCACCCACACGACCCCAACCAGGGCTGGGGACAAACTGCAACCGAGGTACGTGCCCTTAGCGGGAACTGAACTCAGGACTCTCTGGTCCGCAGGCTGCAGCTCTAACCGCTGAGCCAAACCGGCCAGGGCTGTAGTGAAATAACTTGACTGTGCAAAAGGAATTATGCTTCATGAAAGTCACATCTGTTAAAATCTTCCTAAAATAATGTTCTCACTCTTTTAAAAAAAATATATGGTTTTACTAATTCTTTAGAGAGAGAGGAAGGGAGAGGGAGAAACATCCATGTGAGAGAAACAACAATCAGCTGCCTCCTGCGCGCCCCCTACTGGGGATAAAGCTCAAAACCCGGGCATGTGCCCTGACCGGGCATGAACCGGGACCTCTCAGCCCACGGGATGATGCTCAGTCCACTGAGCCACACCAGCTGGACAATGTTCTCACTCTTAGTTCTATGGCTATTATACAGAAAACTTCAGACTTTTCTTTACATTGATAAGCCATGCAAAAGGAGATTATAATTCTATTTTAAAATTAAATTGGCTTACAACCTTGTCTCTTTTTGGCTATAAAATTTTCATAAAAGGATAATAGCAAAAGTATGAATTATTCAGTATATTTAAAATATTAGTGACTAGCACAGCTCTTTGACACTTCTGGCAAGAATTCACGTAATTAAGAAAATTATTTCCAAAGACTCTGTGACAAATCTCACTTTCAATAAATATTTTCGAATAAAAAAGGAAAACAAACAAAAACACTTTGATAGCATTTAAATTTTGTAACAGAAAATAGCAAAACCCCACGAACGATATTTCTGATACCTTGAGGTTTGTCAGTTGTTCTGTGATAAATACATAACCATGAATCAAAATCACTTCGCAATGACATAACGTGTTTACTGAAGTGAGCCATTTATCATGCATTTTCCATGGCTGCCTCTGAAAGAGATAAGGCCTGCGTTTGTTTGCCCACAGCACTTAGCAACTGGGATTTACTTCTGGGCATCTTCTTGTTTGCGGTACCCAGGAAGCTGGTGCCAGGCCCTGCCAGAAAGCATCCCTGACAGTTATGTAATTAGCCGGCATTGTTTGTAAAGCAGGCAGGCAGCCTTCTGCAAAAGATTCTCTTTGTTTGCTCTAGTGTTTTTAAAACTATTTTGCTCATATTTTCAAGTCCTTGTTTGTTTTTTTTGTGGGGGGAGCAATTCTATGTTAAACTCTTTCCAAATTTCAGCTATTTTTAAAGACAAGCAAGTTGCCAGAGAGGCTGCCGGAGTTTTGAGGGTGCTCACAATTGCGGTTCTTCAGATTCACAAGGACGGTCCGTGGGTGAGGCCACCATTCCATCCACCCTGGGGAACTGCTGCCGTAAGAACCGCTGGATGTGCGGGAGGGACCAGTGGCCAAGCTGGCTACTCATCTGCTTCCTCCTCCAGGAGCTCTCTCAAAGAGTGAGTGTATGCTCTGACTGGTTTGGCTCAGCGGTAGAGCGTCGGCCCACGGACCAAAGAGTCACGGGTTCGATTCTGGTCAAGGGCACGTACCTCGGTTGAGGTTTGTCCTCAGCCCTGGTCGGGGCTTTGAGGGAGGCAACCAGTCAGTGTGTCTGTCTCACATCGATGGTTCTTTCTCTCTCCCTCCATCCTTCCCTCTCTTCCACTCTATCTGAAAATCAATGGAAAGATATCCTCAGGTGAGGATTTAAAAAAAAAGAGTGAGTGGAGGAGGAGCAATTCACTTCTAGAAATTACACTGAAGTTCACCAGGATTATCTGTGTCCTTGGAATAGTCGTTACGATCTAAGTAGGATTTAGGATCTAAGTTGGGTTTAGTCCAATACTCCAGGACTCAGAAGATAAAAAAGATGTTATTTCCTTTCTCACAGACTTTTAGTAGTTCCAAAGTAGGGCTCGTAAACTCACGTTCCTTCAAGGCCCAGGTGAGTAGCTTAGTAAAAGCTAACATTTATTAAATCCTTGCATTATGCCTTGTCTCATGCTGTGGTTTACATGGGTTTAACCTACCCTGTGCGGCAGAGACCGTTGCTCTTCTACGAAACAAGAGACTGACGCTCAAAGACTTAAGGAACGTAACTGAGGCTGCAGACCTACTAGGTGACCAAACCCGAATTTGGAGCAGTGATGTCTATCCTCTGAGCGTGTACGTGTAATCACTATGCAACTGTCTGGAATAGGTAAGAAAACTATCTTAACTTACAGGATAAGACGAAAACTGATGGTCACCATAGCGAACCAGAAAGTGCAAGATTTTTTAAAAGACATTACATTTCTCCGTCTCTCTTTCTCTGTGCTGCTGAAAGGACACGTCTATGGACCAAAATGGTCTGCGAGCTGCCACTGTGCGGTCCCTGTAGAGCCGAGACCAAAGCGACAGTCAGGGCTGCCAGCCCTGGTCTGCACACATCAAACCTCACCGTCCATTCTGCACCAGCTCCGTGTTCGTCCAAGAAGTGCTCACTATTTAACAACTGTGCCCGGGTTTCCAGAAAGTGCCTTCTTCACTCACGATACCCCTACTGTCTCAGAGACCCTCCCTACAGCCTTCAGCTCCCTACAATCACACTCTCGAAGCCACGTCAGCCAGGGACCCACCCTGGTCGGAGGGACCCAGTCTCTCCGCCGGCAGCTCTTCAGTTGCACCTCTCACGGCCCCCTTCATTTTCCGTCTTGAATGACACGTAGGTCAAGGTCCTGTCTTTCCCCTGGAACATGCTGAGGGCAGTTCCAGTTTATCATTTGTCTCTACTGACCCTGTTCTCACTTCCTGTTTGAAATGCCCAGGGATGGTGCACATACTACCTCGTGTGAATGGGCGCCTCCCAATCTTTCACTGTAGGGATTGATGTCCACGCTCTGTGTCACTATTAGATTCCTGCTCCTCCAAGGAAGTAGCGTGTTGGATTCTTTTTTGTTTTTCTATAGCATCGACTAGAGTACATTTTGCATATGGTA